AGAAAAAGAGGAATACTCATTATCTGAGGCTCATTCCTGTATTACACACTTGAATACTAATGCAAGGATGTCAACCAACGAACATCAAATGGATATACTGCCATATGAACAAAATCAGGAATTATCAATTTTCTATGTAAATGCTCAATCTTTAGCTAATAAAATTGATGAATTAAATATTGTATGTCAGGAAAAACCATATCATTTAGTCTGTATATGTGAAACTTGGTTGACAAGTGATTTAATCTCTAATATCAACATCATTATTCACCACTTGGTAGGTTACTTTTGCAGATATAAATTTAAGCATGGCGGCGTGGCAATATTTGCTCGAAATGATATTATAACGAATGCTGTGGATATAAATAGATATTGCACTGAAGTTGATGCAGAGTTTGTCGCAATAACTGTATTCAATATACTGGTAGTATGCTTATATTGATCAGGTAAGGGAAATTTTCTGAATTTCATATCTTCATTTGACTCTCTAGCTGAATTTACAACACGAAAATTTAAAATGGTAGTTGTATTAGGGGATTTCAATGTGGACTTTTCCACTGAATCATTAGAAAAAAAATACTGTGTAACACATTGAATACATTCAACTTCAGGTATTTAATACAAGAACCAACTAGAGTCACCAATCATTCCTCCACCTGCGTTGATAATATTTTGATAAATTTCGACCACCACTCAGATGCACAAGTTATTAAAGATGATATATCTGACCATTATGGCCTAGAAATATCAATTGCTAAAAATGAACTGCCTACTGTGGAAAAAAATAATTTAGTTAAACCAATTTCAAATGTTGGTGTCTCAGAATTCAGGTTTATTGTAAAATCAAATTATTACACGTCTACTGATCCGAATGTTTTAGCAACGTTTATATGTGAAGAAATCAGATATGCAAGTGAAGCAGCTTTCCCTGAGAAAAAAGTAAATCGAAAACAAAGAAAAATTAATTGGTTTGATGATAATTTGAAACAAATGAGGGATAATGTAAATAATCAAAAGAACATTTGGTTAATGACAGGCAGTGAAATACATACAGGAAAATATATAAACATGAGAAACAGTTACAGGAGAAAAATAAAAGAAACTGAATCTATTTGTTATAATGACAAAATTCTAAACAGTGACAATGTTGGTAAAACAACGTGGTCAATAATAAATCAATTTAATGGAAAGTCACAAGTCGTTCATGAAAATTCAGATATTTCTGCTGATACTTTTAATAGCTATTCAACTTCTGTAATTGATGAGCTGATTACAAATATTACTTTCCCAGGTACTGATGGTGCAGATCTAATGAAGATTTCACTGAAAGATTCATTTTTCTTGAAGGCAACTATTGAAACTGAAGTGCAAACTGTAATTGCTTCATTGAAAAATTCAAATAGTTCAGATGCCTATAACATCAGTTCCGTTATAGTGAAGATGGCATGTGATGCTCTTAGTAAGCCTATAGCACACCTAGCAAATATTTGCTTGTCATGTGGAATGTTTCTAGCGAACCTAAAATTTTGTCGAGAAACCCAAACCTAAAAAAGGTAGATCCTAATGATTGCAATAACTATAGATTCATTACCGTAACTCCCATAATATCAACGATCATTGAAATTCTAGTCACAAAAAGACTTTTTGATTTCCTTGAAGGGGTAGATACTTGAATAATGCTCAATATGGTTTCAGATCGATGAGATCTACATCACAAGCAATGACGGAAATTGTTCACAACATTGCCCATAATAAAGTTTTGGGTATCAGCACTCGCTTACTTCTTTGCGATCTACCTAAAGAATTTGAGTGTTTCACATGACATATTATTGAGAAAACTTGAAAAATATGGTATTAGAGGCATAGCATATGACCTAATACATTTCAAATTTTGTTATGACAGATATTTTCGAATGTAACAGAAATTGTAATTTGAGGTCAATAAAATGTCTTTCTTTCTTGCAGAAAGACAGGTAGTTAAACGAACCAAGAAGCCGAGGTCCACACAATCTAAAGTTCTACTGCGAAGCATCGCCCACACAAGGTTATGCTACGATCACCATTATTTTCATCCTCTTTTGAAATTCTACGTATATGAATATTTTATATACTTTGTCTTATCATTTACTTTTATACATTTCTATATTCCAATATTTTTAATATAAATTTCATATATAATCTTCAATGATAGCATTTTCTGTAATTGGGTACTAACTCCTGTTAAAAATAAATTGGTCTTTTTTTACAGATCTAAGCATATATAGGGACAGACAGCGGGAATCGACTTTGTTTTACAATACGTAGTGATTACATAGTAAATTTATCAGACGCGGTACATTAGTCTTTTTTTTAGGTGTTTGGATTGACTTCATATAGACTATAAGAATTCATTGGCTACTTATCTACATCTGATATAGTAACTATGTTCTATTGTAATAGATACCGGCTTTTCATAAGTGTGAGTAGAACGATTTTACAATAGAGTTGTCTCAAGTCCATGATGCCAAGTTTGATGAAAAAATTTCTGAAGGGAATCGAGAAGTTTTAATGCACAAAATTATCGGAAGGCATTTTTGCCTTAATTTTGTTATCAAATCAAATTTATTTTTAATCTGAAGACAAGTGATATAAGACATGTCAAAAATTTTAATTATAGAGACAAAAAGCAAAATTACAGAGTAAAAAGTTAAATTTTAAAATGATAAGTACAAGTACAGACAGTGTACATTACAATTTCAATATCAAGGTAAAATATGCAATTACACACAGAGTACGACAGAATATACTATCAGTGATTTACATAATAAAAAATTCTTCCAAAGTATAGAATGCACCCTCAATTAGTACTTTTTCAGTGATTTCTTGAATCTGAAATAGATAAATTCATCTTTGATGTTTTGGGGAATTTTATTAACAATTCGAATTCTGATGCTTAAAGAACCGTTTTGCGGTAAGTTCAATCGGTTTTGAGGATTATTCAGCAAATGGTGATTCCTGGTGGAACAACCGTAAATGTCATTACGACAGAACAGAGTATTTCCTTGTTTGTAAATGTAACAAGCAGTTTCCGATATGTAAAGAGAAATAAGGGATAATACTTGTAGCTTTCTAAAGAGAGGTTACTAGATTCTGTTTGGGGTTTGCGAAACACGAATGCACTTTTTTCTGTGTAATGAAGAGACGTTTGGCAGCAGGTGATTGTCCCCATACTATGATTCCGTATGCCAGTCTCGATTGAATTTCTGCAAAATAGAAGTGTTTCATTACTGGAGTTGTCAGGACCTTATACATACAGCGTATTTTAAATATTTTGGTGTTAATATTTTTTATTACAGTAGATATGTGGGTTTCCCAATTTAGTTTATCATTTATATTCAAACATAAGAACTTAACAGAGGTATTACAGGTAAGGTAAGGTAAGGTAAGGTCAGGTTGATATTTTCAATTTGTTTTTGACTTGTATGGAAGATAAGAAATTCAGTTTTCACTGGGTTTATATACCTTCCCAGCCAATTATATTTTATTGCATTAAGGATTCTCCTAAATAAGGTTTTTAGTTCCTTCAGTTATAAAAATGTATCCAGTTGTTTGAATTTGTAAATGAGCCGGCGAATTTTTCATTAACGACTGTTTGAATATGCAAGTGACACTTCAGAAATGAATCGATCAAGATTTCAAGGTACTTTGTTGAGTTTGTGAGTGGTATAGAAATGTTGTCCAGAGTCAGGGACTCTACTCAGGTGAGTTTTTTGCCATGAAGTGAATAGTACAATTTTGGTTTTAGAATAATTAATTGACAAACTTTTTTCATTAAACCATCTGGAAATATGTTTCAGATTCTTAGTTAAAAAATCCCTCACTTCTTTCCATGTGTTTCCTTCACAAAGATGGTATCATCTACAAATGAAACTAAAGTACAACAATATATTCTGAGAAAAACATTCAAGTATATAATAAATAAAATATGACACACCACAGGTTACAGTTTTCGCAGTGCTTACATTGCCCTCTATTTAGACATGCTGTTGACAATTGATCAGATAAATTTGAATATGCTTCAAAACCTATTATTTTTCAATTTTAAGAGGAGCTAATGGTTGATGGTATCAAACTTTTTTTGTCAGATCAAGCAATACATGGTATGGTATTATCCAACGCTTTGTACATTTCAAATGAGCATATTCCTAAACAATGTTGTGCTGACAAGTTGGCTACCTTAAATCCAAATTGATTTGATGAAATGTAGCCCATCAACCTTTTTCATATGATTTTTCCAAAAATTTTGGATATGCTTTGTTATTGTCATACAGTCATCTTCCTGATTTATGTATCAGTTCAATAACAGCTATTTTGAACTGGGGTGGTATTTCGCCACTTTTTATAACCATATTAATTACCACGTTTCCGAAATGTATTTGGGAATCAACCTTTTTAACCTTTCGTTAGGATCGCAAAAACTGAAAGGAAGATTCAAAGGCATGTTTTTTTATTGTAAATATCTAATTTCAGTTCTGCTCATAAATCTTTTATTTATTAACATTTTTTTTATTTGCCGCAATGTATTTGAAATAAGCCTTTTTTTCCTGTTTGACAGCAGCCTTGGTAATAATTCAGAGTTTTATACTAAGTCTAATCTTCAATTTTACTGGTTTTTGTGAATTTATTTCTGGCTTCACCTCAGATTGTCATTACCTTCATATTGTTATCCATGGTGTATAAAGCCACATACAAATTTTTGTGACATATGATTCTTGAACAATGCTTGGATTTGAAAAAAAAATCTGAGAGAAAATGGTATTTCAACAAATTGATTGTAAATCCTTGTTTTACAACAGTTTCTGGTGCATGGCAATAAACTGAAAAATGGTATCAAACATGATGTAAGTCCATTGTGACACAGTCAATCAATTGAAATTAACTTGAATGATAATATAGTCCAACATATAACATGAAGAATATATTACTCTTGTTGGTGAGTTTATAATTTGCTTCAATTCATAAGGGTCCAAAACCTTGGTGAGAAGAAGATAGTTTTTAATTTGTAATGTCTGTACTGAATAGACTGACCCATTACTTGATGAAAATTATTCACACTATCCATGATAATGATTACACAATTTTCGCAAGCATTTTTATTTCTATATGCTTTTCCCTAAAATTGTAGCTTCCATTAATTTCCTCCAAGGAAGCTTAGGTGTTATTGAAACACGTCTAGAATTGAAAAACTGTCTGTGAAAATTGTGTAATTATTATCATGGATATACTGTTAATATTTAAGTCTCCCATGCATATGATATTGTTAGAATATGGCGCAATTATGGTTCGGCTTTTTTCAGAGTCATTTAGAAAATCAGAAATATTTATATCTGGAGGCCTGTATATAACACCAATGATGTAAACAAGAGAGTTTTATCTTTTTGATCCACAACTATTGCATGTTATAATGTATTTCACTAATCAAGATTTCGAAACAATTCGATTTTCTAAGTAAAAGTCTCACTCCTACACCACGTGAAATCGACTACATGTATTTCCATGGTATTTAAAAATAAGTTCTCAGCATGAGCTAACAAACGAGTATGCTTGTGACTGTCAACAGTTTTCCTTTAATTCAAAGTGACGACTGTTTTGTCCTTTGAGCTTAACAATGGAGATAGTAAAGGTTTGATTCAATTTTATATTGATATGGGATGCTACCATCAAAGTAATATGTTTTAATTCATATGTTTATTTTGTATTTTGAAATGAATGATATTTAAAACACCATTATTGTAAGATATTACAAAATCACGTGTCCCTCCACGATGACTTTGCTCATGTCAACAGCTTCGATCCTGGAGAACAATGGACTGAAACTATCTATTTTTGTCAACAATAAATTATAACTTTGGAAGAAAACAGATATACTTTCAATCCTGTTTTCCAATGAATCACAGTTATCAAAATCGGTTTAGTCAATAGCTCTTTCAATTGACAAATGAGAAATGAAACTTCCTGTTTTTCACCCCTTTTATTTGTAACTAATGTTACTGCAGTTTCGTCATATAAGGACATTTTCAAACTTATACAACATGTATATACAAACTTATACATACATGTTTGAGTTTGAAAATGTCCTTATAGGATGAAAATACAGTAACGTCAGTTACAAATAAAAGTGGTAAAAAACACAGAATGTTGCATTTCTCATTTTTTATGGTATTAACGGCTACATCCATCAATTTATTGAAAGAAGCTCTTTCAATTCTTGTCAGTTATATACAGGGTTGAAAGATACTATTATATAGTGAAAAAAGTTTCATTCTGGAAACTGTTTATGGGATAATCTCAGAATGAAATTTTTTTCATTGGGGTTATCATGGATTTTCATAATGTACCTACTAGTGCCAAGTTCATCAAAAATTGAACTAGATCAGCTTATCATAAGTAACTTATAATTTTCTGTGGTAAAAATGAGATGTTCAATTTACACTGAGGATTATCTAATGACAATTACCTTAGTAGATGAAGTGATAAGTAGGTAATATCACAAGTCTCAACATAACCTTTCCATTAATAAATTATTCATGACTTATAGTTTTTATTTTTCTAATACCATTCAATTTCAACTTACTACCTAAAAGTCATTTTTTTTTCAAGTGACTCCAAAGTATGTGAATTACCTAATATTTCAATTACAATAACCTTTAAAAAATGTTCTTGAACCATTGCAAGTAATCAGTTTCATATTTATGACAATGACAAACCAGATCAACAATTAGACAATTTTTCAATATTATGCAGTGCGAGTTTAAATGTTTAAAAATCAAAGCAGTGGGATGAAAGCGAGATGTTTATAAACAAATGAACGTCGAAAATCACACTATTAACTAACTAGTTTTGAGCGAAAACGAGCTTTACTGAAAAACACAAGAGACCAAATTCGCTCGCTAGCAAACTAAACACACAAAAGTCGCCCATATTGGCATCCATTACAAACACAGTTGACATACCTTTTTATACAATAATCTTTATAACTCCCAACTCAGTTTCCAATAAGAACAGAAGCATTTTATTTTTCAATTTATTCACTTGACGTACCCACTCAAAAAATTCACTTAGGTTACACACTCTCAGAAAATGAAAATAAACAACTATTGTATATTAACTCAACTAATTAACACTTTATATATGATGCGCTGAAATTCACTTTTCAATACGTCGCGCAAGAATTGAGCTTTATCGTTCTCGTTTGCGCACGTACCTGAAAATCATAATGGAACCAACAACATTCAAATAACATCAAAGGGAATATGAAACGTAGATTCGAAAATAATTTTTTTTTGGGATTGTAGTCTTTATTTATATGACTTCAGGGTACACAAACAATTCAAAGTCAGAAGAAAGTAAATATGCTCTGAACTATGATGAAATCAATGTAGATAGGTATTCATCCCCTTTACGATAGTTTATATATGGTTCTTCTCAGGTTAAGTTCAAAATGACCTGAATGAATATACATATTAAGCTGAAGATTAAATTACAGTGTGGTATTAACTGCACAATTCCACTAATCATTGCAGAAACTCGTCAGGCGCTTTTTAGAAAACCAGTAAACGAACAAAATTAGACTGGTCTGTCACAAGTCAAATGCTCAGATCTATCCAAAGCCGTATTCGGATTCGCTATTTGAACGGTTTTCGAACTGTCGAATGTAGCCGCACAGTTCTAACTTGAAATGTTTTGCGCGTGTCTACTCTCAATAAACAGCTGGATTACTATTTTGAACTGTCCTAGAATCGTTCGAACTGTAAACCCAAATACAAAAGTGCCAAAAATAAAATTCAACACTGGGGATTATAGAAATTACTAGGGAGTATAGAAATTACCGTGGTTGTCAAACTTATAATCTATATTCTATAATCTCTAGTTGAATTTTACAGTTGGCATCCTTGTTCATTTAAATACCTTTCCTTTCCGCTTACCTAAAAGCTTCCTCTAAATTTTTTACTTGTTAAGTTACATACATATTTCATTCTATCAGTGTTGTTAAAGAGATTTTCTGGAAAATGTAAATCAGATAGTGAAAATAGTGAACTTTCTTTCAGTTTCCTACACTAATACAAACCATATAAGATTTTGAACTATGTTCTGCAATCTGAGAATGGCGCTGCTCATACACATATTCATCTCAGAGTAATAATATATTACTAATAATTAATAATTTTATTACTTCAATATATTCCTATAGAAATATTTATTGGGTACGAGCGCAATTATTTATATTCACGTATAAATACTTACTATACAGGGGAGGTTCCGAAATAGGCCGAGAAGGTATACTACACAGTATGTAGTAAAATCTCACAATAAAGTGTTTCTTGAATACATTGTGGATTTTTATCAAGTATCGGCCGATTCAATGATACGTTTTATTATATTCAATTATACATATATATGTTTGTTTTTGGACCAATGTTTGTATACGTCCTGAGGATCAACCTGTATGAATTGATATTGTATGAATAAAATATATACCTATATGTATTAAAACATTTCTACTGAATATAATAATTTTTTTGTATACTTTTGTTCTTTTATTTTATGAAAACGATACCTGGCTTGCCCACCTATTTTAGTACCAAGTTGATGAGACTTTTTCTTATAAGACTGATTCAAAGTTTTCTCTATCGAAAACACTTTCCCAACACCAGAACTAAATTACAGTCTCTCGACGCGCGTTTCGCTAATCAAATTAGCGTCCTCAGGAGATCATTATAATAATGATATCCCGAGGTCTCTTGGCGCGATTCGCAAACAAAGTTAGGGAAACGGGCGTCTAGAGACCGAATAATTTTGTTCTGGTGTGGGAAAGTGTTTTCAATAGATTCAGAGGTTTGGATAGTTGGTGATATTTGTAGTGATGAAAGAAGATTGATACTACCTTTTTGAGAACTACATTTGGACTAGAACAAACAATAAATGAAAATACTAGGCAACAAAATTGCATTGACAATATTTTCATTAATTTTAATCTATCATTGTATACTATAAATACATATGAAACCGATATAACAGATCACCGTGGGCAGTCTATTCACATTGCTGTGGAACCTCTAAGGAAATCACAGATACTTAAAGTGTGTCGACCAATAACTAGTCGCGGTAAGTTTATCTTCTACAAACTCATAGAAAATAAATCATGGTCTTTTATAAATAATATTGATATAACAATAGAACAAAAATTCAGTATTTTCATTGATATTCTATCCAGTGCTCTACAACAAGCTTTCCCAGAAAAAAAGTATACTGTTAAACCTCGTGAAGTAAGCAATACCTGGTTAGACGACAAACTTCGGTGCAGAAGAGACCAACTGCATATGATGAATGATCTATACAAACAATTTAAAACACATGAACTTCGAATTGAGAGAAACAAATTAAAGAATTTATACAAAAAAGAAATTGAGCATGCTAAAAAAATCAGTAATGATAACCTAATAAATAATTCAAAAAATAAGGCTTCGTGTATGTGGAAAATTATTAATAATAGAAGAAATCAGCCAAGTGATAATAATATTGAGATTTCACCGGAAGACTTAAATAACTATTTTGTTAATGTTACACAATATCTGGTCAAGGAATTAGATCATACAAGTAGGGATTCAATGGAGATACTAAAAAAACTTAACAATATAAAAACTAAATTCACTTTCACAGATATAAATGTTGTTTTACAGATGTTTATTATCTCATGTGATCTCATGTTCTGAACAGGGAGTATTTCGAAAAATCTGGAATAGTTATCAGTTATGACGATATACCATTTTCCTTCAGTTTTAAAAAGGTCCATTGATATCACTTGCCATGGATAATCCGGAAATTTAGCTGGCAATAGAGGCTCATGATGGTTTGTCAAGTTTTGAATACAGATAGGACAAGATTTTACTTTAGCTTCTACCTCTTGAGAAATTCTTGGCCACCACATCGTCCCCGAGCACGACGACGAGTTTTAGTTATTCCAAAGTGACCAGCGTGTAATTTTTCCAACATGATTGCCCTGAGCTCGCATGGAATGATCATACTCCTCCCTCTAAGAAGGATACCATCCACAACAGATAGTTCGTGACGTACTGAGTAGTATGGTTTAACATCACATGATAATGCAGACTTATGAGGCCAGTCTCCCATTATGTAGTTCTTCAGTTGGTTACAGGTTGGATCATTGTTTTGCGGGTTAGCAACTCGTGTTACGTTCTCATCAGATGTGGGAATACCTGCGAGAGTGACCCCATGAATGAAGGTATCGATTTCTTCTTCTAATTTTGTGTCATCTTCTGAAGGTACAGGTTTACCAGATAAAGTATCAGCAATATATAAATTTTTCCCTGGGGTATATAGAATATTGTAATCATAACGCATCATGCGCATTCTAAACCTTTGAAGCCTTGGAGACAGATCATCGAGGTGCTTAGTTTTAAATATTTGTACAAGTGGCTTGTGATCGGTCTCTATGGTATATTGTTTTCCTATCAGAAAACTCTTTAGTCGATCGCTTGCCCAGGTCAGAGCTAATGCTTCTCTTTCTATGTTTGCATAATTTTGTTCAGCTGGGGTCAATGTCCTCGAGATGTATGCTACAGGTTTCTTATGACCACCTTTTATTTGAAGATTACAGCTCCCAGTCCTTTGGTAGGATTGTAGGTTTATTTGCATCATACATTGTTAAACAAGGTGCTGATATAAGCAATTCTTTTATTTTCTGGAATGCCTCTTGTTGTGCTGGGCCCCATAGAAATGCATTGCTTGGACTGACTAAACTTGTAATTGGTTGCATAATTTCACTCCTATTAGGGATAAATTTCGCTAGGAATGTTACAGTACCCATAAGGCGTTGAACTTCCTTGACATCTTTTGGTGCTTCCATTTCTACAATTGCTTTCACCTTGTCTGGATCTGGTGCTACCCCATCCTTCGACAACACAAATCCCAAGAAATCGATTTTCTGCTTACAGAATTCAGTTTTGCCCTTATTCAGGGTTATACGTGCTTTTTTGATTCTCTCGAGCACTTCTCTTAGGCAGTCATCGTGTTCCTCTTTTGTGTTTCCCCATACCAGTACATCATCCATATGGACTAGGGTATTTTTTGCTCCTTCAAGGACTCGTGACATTCTTTTCTGGAATTCCTCTGGTGCTGATGTAATACCGAAAGGTAATTTCTGGAATTTAAATCTTCCAAATGGGGTTAAAAAGGTTGAGTAGTCTCTTGATTCTTAGGCTAAATTAAGTTGCCAGAATCCATGATTTGCATCAAGTTTGCTAAAATATTTAGCCCCTCTAATCTCTGCAAGTCGTAACTCTACTGCTGGAATTGGATGAAACTGACGTTTGACACTTTTATTTAACCTTGACAAATCGACACAGATACGGACCCCTTTTCCTCTTTTCTTTATGTTTACTACCATTGGGGCACACCATTCGGTCGCATGATCTACATGAACAATGACACCATTTTTCTGCATTTCTTCCAAAGCTTCTTTTACTTGGTCTCTCAAGGGAACTGGAACATTTCTTGGTACAGAAATAGCGTATGGTTCAGCATTTTCGTTTATTTCGATTTTGTATTCACCCTCCATATTGCCTAGTCCTTGGAATAACGAAGAGTATTCTGTGACCCAATTTGTCTCAGTGCTTATAGAATAAATTCTTTTTACTAAGGCCAGCCTCCTTCCCAAAACCACTGAACAACTTTCGGATAAGCTGAGTTTAATGCTAGAGACCAGGTTAAACTCCCCAAAAAAAACCATCACGTCCCAACCAATTGATAGTGCCCAATCATCCAATAAAAGACAGAATAATGCTTGTGAACCTCCATCTGTGATAATGAATAGTGCATCTCTATCAATTTTTCAATTAAATATTCAATCAGCCAGAAATAAAATTTATGAATTTGAAGCATTTTTAGCTGACAAAAATTTTGATATATGTTGTCTGTCTGAACATTTTTTAACAGAGGACGAAATAAATACTTTAGAGATAAGTAACTATACTGTAGTAAGCTATTTTTGTAGAAACAACATGATACACGGTGGTACTGCCATTCTGTGCACAGTAAAACTTAAAATGGAGCCTATTGAATTTCTTAAAGATTATTGTATTGAGCAAAGTATTGAAATATGTGGTGGACATATAAAATCAAGCAA